AGAAGAGTTTTTCAAGTTAAAAAATGCGATACATTTTTGATGTAATATGAGGTTGTATCTTTGCTTCCACAATGGTGTTATTTAATGACTTTTGCTTCAAAGTCTGGAAGGTGATTCTGTGACATTGTGGGCTTCATGATTATTGTGTCTTAAGCTCTGATTTTGCAAACACTTATGCACATGCTTAATTTTACACAGTGTGAGTAAGCCCATTGAAGTTAATGGTATTATGGTGTGTACAGTTAAGCGCATGCATAAGTGTTTGCAGAATAAAACAGTGATTTCCACATTAAAATTTGCTTAGTTTAGAAGACTTTTTTCTTGATGCTAGACCATCAGACTCAAACTGGTAGCTGAATTATGTTCTTTCTGGCTTGTACATCATCTACAGTAATAGACAGGGCTCCAGGTCGCAAATCTGCCCTAGGTTCCACCTATGCAATCTGATGGACATTTTTTAAACATCTTTACGTTGTTTTAAATGGGACTGCACAGATGTAATGTCAAGGCACAATTTGGGTTGATAATTGGAACTTAGTTAACCTTTCCTTTGATGAAGCACAAACCAGAGAAGAATCTAATTAATTCTTCCATAGTTTACTGGTTTTCCAGTGCTGACAGATTTAAAGTAGTAAAAACTTATTTTTGTTGCAACAGCAAGTTTATAGGTCTCCACATAAAAACAGGTACTACATCTGTCAAGTAAAGGATGACATTTTTACAGTCACTTTAATATTTTCTTTTGCTTTAGTTCTTTTGTTAATTACTTTTGTGAATAAAAAAATTGATTGTATACTGCATGAAGTCCACAATATAGCTTCAAAATTTTACATTACATTATCTTTCAATTTTCTTCCAGTGAGAAAACAGCAAATGGATGCAGCCAATTCTAACTGGTTTTAATTGATAGCTATCTAATACAACCTACTAAATCTCATGAAATAGAAATACCCAAACAGTTTGGACTATCATTACATGCTGGAAAGAGCAATCTCTTTTGTAGTAAATACTTGTGTTTGTTTTGTTCTGCACTGCTTTCATACATTTATTTTATAAATGAAGCTAAGAAGAAAATCTTCAGAATTTAAATTCTAGAAAGTCCTCCAAAAGCTGGCACATCTAGTGTATATGTTTCAAAGTGTACTGGATACATGTATTGTAAGCAACCACACAAAAAGAAACGGAAATGACAAAGAAAGATGAGGAAATGTGTTTCTCATCAAAATGTTATATTTGCAATTTGTTAGTGTGTCAAGACCTTTTAAATCAAGAAGTGTGAGTTTTGATATGAAAATATGACCATATGATAGAAGTATTTCAACTAATTCCAGTTGGATAAGATACAGATGCCAACATTGGGATTTGTATAGCTGATTTAATTTTGACTTTTTCATTTCATGCTTGCAACATTGTTTAATCCTAAATGTACAGTTTAATTCTACTTAAACATATGTTGTCTTTAAATATTTTATTTACTTAGAATTACACATAATAATATAACCACTTTCTATCTGAGATGTTACTGAACTCTAAATAAGAAATTGTTGGATTAAAGTTTAATGGAATGTACTATGCAGGCATCTATAAAAATGCCTTAAATTAAATGCCTGACTATACAGACCTAATGTTCCAGGTGAGCTTAGGAATTCAAATGCTGCTACTGGTGTGGATATGCATGGTAATATTAGATGCAATGGTTAGGAGTTTAGAATGTAAAGGCAGGCGTATCTGAAACTAGCTTGAATACATTTATTTTTTGTTTACTTGGGCCACGTTTTTGCATGTTGTGTATATATATGTCTAGAATTCAGTTCCCCTTCTCCCCATCCCCAAATGAAATATTCTTAAACCCCACTTTAAAAAAAGCTAAATGTACAGGACAAAGAAGAAGCTAAATGTACAGGACAAAGAAGCATGTAAATAAGTGATGATACTTATGGAGATGTAATGTTTATATGTAAAAAAATGTTATGTACATAGAAAAGAAAAAATGGCTCAATGAATGTTTTAAAAATATTTCTTTTACACAGATGTTGCATTCACATATATGTGCTACATATTTTAAACACAGATTTTATTTCACTATCAACTTTAAATCATTTTGGGCCTGATTCTACCAACCTAACTTATGTTGAATAACACTTTACTCCAATTGCAGTGTCATTGAAGCCATTATGTAAGGATAGCAGTATCAGATCCTGTGATTGTTGCTATCTTTTTCTTTTATGGGTCTTGTGCACCTTTTTAAAATCAGATCCTAAAAATATAGGATTACAGGGTGGGGCATTAGCCTAAATCTAGGTTTTTGGAATAATGTTTTTTTCATATAGATTTAATATAAAAATGAAAAACTTAGAAATTAAAAGATAAGGCTAGTTTGCACAACCATTACTTACACTGGTGAACACTTACTATTCACACAAGTAAGTCTGGTTGGGCTATTCCAGTGAATAAGTTTTCACCAATGCGAGTAAGGGTTGAACAAGTTAAACCATAATTTCTACATGTTTTCTTAGAAAACCCGAAATCTTGCATGTTACTTTCAAATTATTACAAGACTGAGGGCCAGATAAAAATAAATATAACATTAGATTGGTTATTAATATATTATGATAGGTAAGTTTCACCTATGAGAATTTGAAAATTATGTGTAAATGCATTGACTCAGAATAGGAGAGATTCTGAAGAGACACTGAAGTAGTCATAAATGTTCACTGTCTAGATAACACTAATTATATTGATTAGACAGCATGTGCATAGCAACACAAATGTTTTTGATTGTCTAAACTAAAATCCATTTGAATTGCAGCTTAATTTGTTGACAACTGTATTTCGTGTATTTCAGGCCTATAACTATTGTTCAAGCTGTTGAAGGACTGTGGCTGTTATTTAAAGTGTTCAACTCTAGTAATATCTGTAGCCTTCAGTATATCCTTGAGTGCCTTACACAGCTTGTTAACACAAACACTTGTAGTTAAGAAAAACAATATACCTGAGAGTCATTCTTGGTGGATGGATGCCAAATTGCTTTGCATCTATAATGCTACCATTAAAACCTTACAATTGGTAGTGTGTTTTAGCACAGTAATGGATTTAGTTTAGACTCAGGAAATCATATTGTGAATATGTGTATTAAACCATGTATTTATTTATTGTACATTTTATAAAAAGGTCTATTGTAAATTTATGCAAAATATAAATTATATAAAATGTTTCCTCCTACGGCAAACATGCCATGAGTTATTTGTGTTCTCTAATGTAATCTCTTAATAACCATATCCTAAATATGTAATGTTTGGTTCAGTGCTGAAATGGTAATTGACAGGCCTAAACGAGGACTGTATGTTGATCAACTACAAAATTTTACACATATTTTTGTATTGTGATTCATATGATATATATCAAGAGACTTTCTATTCATTTGTAAAATACATAAATTATTGTAAACTTTTAATAAAAAAGTCTGTTTTAAACCTTCAAAATAGAAAATGTGTTTTGTTATTCTTGTGGTGGTGAGAAAGAAGACTTTGAATCTGTTATATTAACTGTAGCAATACTTACTCTACTGCAATATTGTGAAATTATCACCTGAATCTCCCCCATGGCTACATCATACATGAAGAATGATTCTACAAATACATATGTATGTGAATAACCTTACTCCCATACAAATTCCATATGTCTGCTCACATGAGTAAAAGTTAAACACATGCTTATGTGTTTGCAGGATTGAGCCCTAAAAGCCTGATCTAAAGCCCATTGAAATCAGTGGGAGTCTTTCCACTGAATTCAATGAGTGTTGGATAAGGTCCTAAGCTTGCATCTCTGTATGATGACCTAATTCTATTCAACATTAGAAGGGACAATGCCTTTCAGAAACTACAAGCCTACCTCAGTTAATACAAGCTAGAGAATATTCTATGAAATGTGGTTTATTGCTATATGGCTGAGATCAGATGATGTCTAGAGATAATGTAATGCTTGTCTTTCTGAAATCCTTAATGGGTTTAGAAATTATTCATAAATTTTCCCAAAATTTAAATATTATTCCAATTAGGAAAGAATGTTGAAATAAATTACCATCACAAACTCTATCCAGGCATATGTAAATATTATTCTTTTGGCTAGAATAATAATGCAAGAGAGGAGAGGTTTGTTTTATTCAGGAAAAACAGAACTATTCACTGGGAAGAATAAAGAGACAGAAAATTAAAATCTCAGTACCTAGAGAAGCCTGTAAATTTAACTCCATTAAAAGTGGGTGACTTCTTCACTGTTGATAGTTTATATCAGGAAATACTAAGTTTCAGAAGTGGCATTCAGTGTTTATCACTGTAAAAGAATCAGGTTGAACGTTTAACGGGCATGATAGATTCACCATTGCATTGCTGTTCCCAGATTTATAGAGCCAAAAAAAAGGTGAAAAGGCCTTTCAGCTATTGACTTCCTGCATTAGAAAACTACAGGCACTGTCCACCCTCCTTATTATTAGTTTAAGAAGCTTATACATAGCTTCAGTTTCAGTGCAGCTGAAAGACACATTTGCTGCACTGTGGTGTGGATCGGGGTGACACCAAAAGTTCTGCATACGTTTACCAAAGGCCAGTTGGTTTCCTTCGGGGGGGGTGGGGGGAAATCACACCGAAGGTAGATTTAATAGGCTGAAACGTGGCAGGCAGAGGCTAAGGGAAGCGGTGACACTGTGGACACAGTTATGGAAAGGGGAGGTGACTGTGAAAGATTCAGCTGTTAGTAAAGCCACCCTGACAGCAAGTTGCCACAAAGGTGCTTTCTAGCGCTCTTTCCCTAGCAGATGAAAGTCCTAGGTGGGCTCTCCCTGGGATGTCCTCCTCGTGAACGTTCAGCACCACCGCCTTGGACAGCTCCTCGTCAGCCGGGCTCAGAGGAGAGCCCAAAGGCGTCACCTGGCCAGCGAATCACCGGCCGGGGTTCCACACGCTGGAGCCGAGGGGACCAGGCTGAGCCCCGCTCTCCCTGCCATTCCTCCCGCGGGCACCGCTCCACTGCCCAGTCCCAGGCGGGCTCCTTCGCCCGCAGCCATGGCAGAGCAGAGACAGGAGCGGAGGGAGCCCGACCTGCCCGCGTACTTCGCGGCCCTGGGCTCGGGCAGCCCCAAGCCCCGGCAGAAATTCGGGGGCATGTTCTGCAGCGTGGAAGGAGCCTTTGAAAACAAAACGCTGGACTTGGACGCGCTGAGCGGCGGCGGGAGAGGCGGCCAGACGCCGGAGCGAGGGGCGCTCCGCCAGCTCCCCGGCGACTCCCAAGGGCAGAGCCAGGCCGGCGGCGAGGCGCTGGGGAGCCGCAGCGCCCCCGCCCTCACCCCAGCCGGAGCGGAGCCTCCCCCGCCCGCTGCTGGGGCCGCAGGAGACGCGCCCGACGGCCACGCTCAGGTAACGGGGAAGCGGCGGCGCCCTGCGGGCGGAGGCAGCGGCCCGCGCAGCGCGCACGTTGCACGGGGAACCAGGACTTTCGTTCGGAAAACTTTATCGTCAGCGTTACCCCGCGGCGCCAGCAATTCAGCCAAGGGGGGTGTCTGTGGGGGGCACAGTGTGGGCCCCAACGTCAATGGGAGCGTTACCAGGGGCGTCCCCGCTGCCCTACTGGCCGGTACCAGCTGCCGGTTGGGACGTCCCAGCTCTAAGCCGCTGCCCAGCCTGGTCGGGGATGTTGCTGGAAACGGGGATCCAGGCAAAGGCAGCTGCCTTTCAGAGGCCATGCCAGGCTCGGGTGGCTCTGGGGTCTGCTGGGCTGCTCCATTTCATTTCCCTGAATCAATAGCAGCCTCCGCAGAGGACCGGGTGCCAGGTGCAGCCTGATTATTTGTTCCCATTACAAAAGGATTAGTGGGTTTGTCAGGCGAGCAATTTGACTCTGACTTTTAAGTGCAGGCCAAATGTATTCCCATCCATGGCCCCTTGGCCCAGAAAACCAGCCCAGAGCTGAACTGCTACATGTGGGGCATGCAGGGGTACACACCGGGCTTTATACAGAGAGAGAGAGAGAGACCAAATGAGTCATTTGCCTGCTGCCCAGTCAGGAGAACATCAGTCTGGTCATACTCATACTGGGTCCTTCCAAGGGTCCATCTAGCCCTGTATCCTAACTCCAGTGGTGGCCATGCCAGATGCTTCAGAGGGAGTAGACAGAACAGGGCAATTTATGGAGTGCCCCATCCCCTGTTGTCCAAAGGCCAGGAGGCTTTCCAAGCCAAGGGGTCCATGTCTCTGCTGCACTGGAGACCAAGCCAGTTCCACTAGTCAATGGGAGCACTGGGAAAGACGCCCTAAGAGTCTGGAAAGGAGTTGATGGCCGAGCTTGAGTGCTTTAATGGCAGCACGGTGAAGCCCTCGATCAGGCCCCTAACAGGGTAGAAGCTCAGGGTGCTGATGCGGACAAGCCCCGACTCCCTATGACTCTGATGGGAATTGCTGGAAGGTGGCTTTGAAGAGGAAAGAAAGGCCTATTTGTGCTGACAAGTGATTTGTACTAAATAACTGTAAAGACTAAACTTGGCTTACCCGGTGGGCCCCCCACACGCACACACACACTCCGTGGGTACAGTCCTAGCCAGATGCCAGGGGCATAAATGAAATCAAGCGCTTTAGAAATCTGCAGAGCATAAATCTTCAGACTTAAGAACAAACTTTCCTGACCAAAGATTCACAGAAATATATGGAGCTGCAGGATGGAAACAATGAGCCATTGGCAAGGCTCTGTCTGACACCCTCCCCTCCCTGGCTCCTGGGGGCCCCGCACAGACAGCCCAGCCATTGCTGGCCTTGGCGGGCCTGCTCTTTCTTGGCAGGCAGGCTGGTGGCGGGGTGGGGAAAGCCGGCTTTTGTTCGCGGTGCCAGGAGAGCGGGGAAGTGGCTGGTGCCTGGGGAAAGGCCCCGGCGGGCTGTCTGCATGGCTGCCTCTCTGGCGGCTGCTGTCGGGGAAGCATGAGCCTGGAATGCTAATCAGGCAGCTGCGAAGCGAGGCTGCGGGACTGCCAGAGCAGGGGGAGCCACCGAGCTCTCCAAGAACAACAGGCAGCCAGGGAGGAACAAACACAGACGCCACAAAAAGCCGCCCGCTCCGGCCACTCCGCCGAGGAGAGCCAGCCCCAGAGCCAGCAGGGACCCCCCCCCCCGTCCCCAGACCCCGCAGCGCACCTGCTGAGGGTGGGTTCCTGCCCCTTGCGCTCGCTCGGAAAGGAGAGGCAGCTGCGGGAAGATGTCGTACCAAGGCAAGAAGAACATCCCCCGGATCACGGTGAGAGGGAGGCCCAGGCAGCCCGGGGCCTGGCGGGGTGGCGGCTGGGGCTGCTCCCCTTTCCTTTTAGAAGGGCATTTCTCTGTGCCGAACCTCCGGTCGGCCTTTTTATTCGCAGCAGCCCGGGCGCAGCGGGCAGCTATCGGCCGGGAGCTGCTGGGTTTGCTGCAGGGCAGGAGGCGGGAGGGTGATGGGGCCACAATAACCGATCCAGCACCCTGGCAGCGCTCAGGGGACAGGGGCCGTAAAGGACAAACGTGCGGTAGCCGGGCAGCGCGGGGAAGGAGACACGGACTCGGAAATATGGGCGGTGGGGTTATTTCATGCTCGTTTTAAGATTGGGGACGGCAGGAGATGCTGGCGGAGCAGCTCCCTAGCGAGTGCTGTGATTGCGTCTCTGCCATGGCTGCGCTGCCCGCCCTGTAATCCAGGCTCCGTGTCTGGGCGGCGCGGGGAGGAGGGCTGGCCTGGCCATATCAAATATTTCTCTGCTGCATTCCCCAGATCTCAGCGGAGACAATCATGCCCCAGTAAAAAGGTCCCTGGCAGGGAGCTCGGACGGTCAGCAAACACGTTAGGAAAACAATGCGCACGGTGAGGTTGCAGATACCTACCAAGTCCCAGAGACGCCTGAGAGTAGGGGCTTTTCCCGACTCCGGGAGGAAGAGGAGAATGTATGTTGATCAGCAGCTTTGCAAATCATTCAGGCCATTGAATCTGCTTTATTTCTGCTAAGAAGCTGGCGCTCCCTTGTTTCCTAGCTCATTCCCTTTCAGGCCCTAATTTCTCATAAAGGGTTGATGGGGCCGAAGGACACAGCAGTTTGAATGTGCTTATATTGCCTTGTCCTTAGAGAGCAACATCTTTTCTCCCAGCCTACGAGTTCAGAAAATAAAAAAATAACATGAGTGACTAAGCATGGACTTTGATAACTTTGGACTTGCTTATGTGCCTAAGATAAAGTGTCTATTCGAATTTCATGTATTTATTCCCTCAATTTAGGTTGCAGGGCCATATTTTTGCCTAGTTCTGCAACATTTTAGGGAGATTGGAAAAGAATAATTATTAATAATAATTAGTATTTTTGAAATATAGTTCTAAAACATCATTTATAGATACATTATTCCTTAAGCAAGATGGGATGTGGGTTTTAGTTCTGAAATGAAATCAGACCTGGTAGAGCAAAACAGGAGGAAGTTGAAAGAGTATTCTTGGGGTTGGTCTTAGGCCTTTGTTACTACAAGCGTCCTATGAAAGCCTTTTGGAGAATTAGCGTGGTCCTTTGTTGAACATAACCTGACTTGAACTCAGAGAGGTTTCTGCAGCATTATATTGTCAGGAAGAGGCCCTTGTACAACAATAGGCATCTGCTTTTCGGATCTTGTGTGCACCTGCTTATTATCTTTCACACACCAGGGCAGCCATGTTACCTAAGAGACTACAAATATTGCTTTTAAAAGAAAGGCAAACATACATATCTTTGAATCTGAAGGGTCTATTCTGTAGGACTGCCACATTATATTTGGAAATTAGCAGAAATAAAATTTAAAAAGTATGATTTTCTATATTTAATCAGGACTTAATGTTTACTGTCTTCTTTCCCCATCAGCCCTGATCCCCATAGTCTTCTTACTCCTGGTTCATAAACCCATATCCTCTGGTCCATCCTGTAAACCCAAAGTACTAAAAAGCGAGAATACTGTAGCTCATTCACTGCAGTGGGCCTCACTCCATCCTCCATCTCTCATCACCATTGTGTTGTGGAGGAATGTGCCACACCACCCCTCAGGTCCCTATCACTGTTGTAACAGGAGCCTCCTTACCCTGATTGCCAGGACTTTTGTGGAGGAGGGGAGAAACCTTTGGGCAGCATGTTTTCTTCTTCTTCTTGGCTGGTGGGCTCTAAAATGGAGCCGCACAAGGGGAGAGAGAAATAGCACTGAGTCCCCTTTAAAAGTGTTCAATGAGTAAGTGACATTGAGTAAGCCAGAGAGAATCAGCCTGCATATGTGACAGGTTGTAAGGGACTCAGAGAGTTCAGTAAAAGCCTGGTAAGAACATCTGGCATTTTGTGGTTGTTACAGAGTGGGTGTGCTTTCAGAGCAGGGACTGGCCTGTATATTTGCATAGTGGAGGAGGCCAATAGAGCTCCCCTGGGTCAGTGATGTGGTGGCTCTTTTTGGCTGGGAAGCAAGAAAAATAGACTAAGGGCTGTGGAATATAAATGAAATATGTTTTGGAGTTTTCATAAACACAGCAAAATTGTTTAGTAGCTTTATTCATACCCCTTTGACCCAGACTGAAAAATCAAGGCCCAGAAGTGGTGTTCTGTGATTAATTTTATAATTGCACATTTCTCTGGTCCTGTAATCCACTCTCCTAGACTGTATTGTCACATGTTGTTACATCCAGCAATTATTTTTAAATGTGCATCAGAACCCTTAGCAGTGGCCATTGTAGCCCTGGGAGTAAATTCTTTAGAGTCACTGTAGGGGTCACAGTTGGAGGAAAAACTGTAATAAACTATGTTCCCATTTCACATTTAAAAATATGAGCCTGATCCTACATTTTCTTATGCATCTAAAATGCCCAGTGTGGAAAATGAGAGCGATTAGTGAAGAATCCTTTGACTAATGTCAGAATCCTTTGGGATCTGTGAAGCCCGGGGCTGCAAGAAAATCTGATTTTGAGAACCTGGAAATGTTACCGTTAATCTCCACTTTCTTATGTAACAGTGGGTGCTTAGTCCTTTTCCTTGCAAAGAGAACCTAGAAAATGTAAACTGATACAAATCAATTGCTAGAGTTGAACATTTCTCATTGATTTCCCAAAAGATCACAGCCACTCCATCAGCTCCCCTAAAGCTGACCTTTCAGATCTGTGACACTCATGCCCGTTGATTCCTCAATTTCTGTGAGAACCTCAGACCAGTTGCCATGTGTACAAGGGCAGTACCACTTTGGATACCCCTAATATTGCTGGGCCTGCTGCAAGCTGCCTCCCAGTCAGCTGTCTGCAAATACAATGGCTCCTCAACTTAGCAGCCAAAGTGGCCACTGGCCACAATGAGGCACCTTAATATCATGAGAATCAGCATGGTCTAGTGGGCTATCACAGCACTGAGAGCAAGTAACACTTGCATTCCAATCTCAGTTCTGACACTGACTTCATCTGTGGCCTCAGTCAGCTACTTAAACTTTCTGCTTCAGTTTCCCCATCAGTGAAATAGGGAGAGTAATAGTTACCTTCCTCAGAAAGAGGTTATGATAACTTATTGAATTGCTGTTTTCAATTCACTTATACAAGTGCTAAAATTCACTCGAATGCACAGAAAATCTGCCAGTAACAGCATTTGGGGGAGGCCAAGCAAGCAACCTCACATCCGTGGCTTCGGTGCACAACTGTCCCTTACAAACACTTTTTAAAATGTTGGCACATATGCACAGACTGCAGCATAAATAACTGGTCTCCACATCTGCAGAAGGAGGCTGGTAGTGACCCTTTGTCTCTTATATAATATGAGTCAGTTAAGTGTACGTTTACCAAAAGGGTCATCACCCCTCTCCAAAACCAGCAGGATGGCCTTGTGCTTATTAGTGTGATCATGTTGGGCAGGAGTTATTTATATTGGAGGGTGGAGCAAAAAATGTTTTGCAGAGCTACTCAAAGCTGTGGATGTGCAATTAATGAAAAAAATGAGTAATATGTAACTTGCACAGTAGTATGTGAATGTTTTATTGTAACTTTGCCTTAATATTTTTTTTTAAAATCACTCCTTACATCTTCTGTGCAGCATACAGTTCTCTAGGCTTGTGCTGTGGAAAATATAGATTAAATCCCCTTTCTGGTTGATTTGAAGATGTTAAAACATGTTTTATTTGTATGTAAAATATATGTCATTTTAGTTTTAAATAATTCTTATACTTTTTATACGTGGAATACAGTCAGGCTTTGATATGAAATAGTTTGGGTGCATTTTTTAAACTAAATTGGACTAATAGACGTGCAAAATATTTTGTCTCAGACTTTAAGTGCAGCAGGCAATTATAGATTATTATGCATGAAGGCCTGTAATGAGTAAAACAACTTCTAAATAAAATAATCTTGGAAAACATATTTTTTTTTATTAGAGTGACCGGCTTCTAATCAAAGGAGGAAAGATCGTAAATGATGATCAATCATTTTATGCTGATATCTATGTGGAAGACAGTTTGATAAAGTAAGTTACTTAAGAAATATTTTGTATTACAATTTACATACTTAACATTGTTGGTGCAATTTAATATGAATAATCATTTCCAGAGACCCCGTTAATTTTCTCAGAAATATGTTCAAAATATTCTTTTGGAAAAAAATCAATAGTTCATAGGGCATTGGAAGAAAAAGCTGAAAGGAATACTTCCTTTCTTGAGTTCTAGCTGTGTTCTTGAAGGCAACAAGTAAAATGATCTTAGTTCTTAATGATCTTACTTCTTTAGTAGCTACTATCAAATTTGCGGTCACTGTTAGTACTAGTTGGGGAGTGGTCTAGGACTACATGAATGAAGAGAGCTGTGGGTCACATTTGATGCCCTGAAATGGGCTGGCCTGTGGGGCTGGTATTGGTGCTCTGCACTGCCATCCAGGAGAGACAGATCTGATCAATCCCATCCTAGAGTTAAGAAAGTTTTGGAGGCAGTGCTTTGCTAGTGGAGATGAGAGACTGGCTCACAATTCTCAAAAGCAACAGCTATGGGTCTGAATGAAATTTCATCCAAACTTCTGTTTCCAAAAGGATGGTGACTGTGATATGAGGCCTCACAAGAGAATATGCATCTAAGTCAGGAGAATATGGGAGAAACTTAGAGCTCCCTTAGAGTTCTGAAGACACCAACTATCCCCCATTTCTCAAAAGAGAGCATAACTGATGTGCATTGGCAGCACAGTGTGGGAAAGCTTACAGAAACATGAGCACACACACATATTCACTTTTAACAACAGGAAGTTAATACATTTTTGTCTAAATGTTATTTGCGGCTAGTAGAACTTCTTAATACTGTTTTTAGGCAAATTGGAGAAAACCTGATAGTTCCTGGTGGCGTCAAAACTGTTGATGCCTATGGCCAGTTAGTTATGCCAGGAGGAATAGATGTCCACACTAGACTACAAATGCCTGTGATGGGAATGACCTCTGTTGATGACTTCTATCAAGGCACAAAAGCAGCCCTAGCAGGAGGAACCACCATGATACGTAAGTAGCATCATTGCAATGACTCTAAGAAGTACATCTTTCAAAAAGCAAATGAGGTGTCCCACCATCGAGAAGATTGCTCAGTGTCAGTTAACACAGGAGTGAGACTTTAGGTCTGACCAGGTTAGTTACAATTGTATTAAGTATTAAGTATTAAGTTCCCTTTAATAAACTCTGCTTTTGTTATATGTTCCTTTTTAAAATATAAAGATTCTACTTATTATGAGGCCACTTCCCCTTTATCATTGTAAGCTATACAGGGCACCTTTTTATTTGGGCATTTTTAAATAGATGGTCACAGAAAATTTATATTTATATACCTTGCTTTTTGTAGATGGAGAAAGAAAAGTGACTTGGTTACGAAATCAAATATTGCACTAGTTTCCAGCTCTGGGATTGTGAGAGCAAATACTTTTGAGGTTCAAAGTAAAAATTATTTTGATTACTCAATCTGATCCCAAGTAGACCTTACAAAACCACCACACAGTTCAGTCCAGTGTTTACTCACTGGAGGCACAGAACTGAACTATAAATGGTCTCACAGGTTAATACTGAGGAGTGTAGGTAGGTGTAGTGGGAAATACAGTACCTATGCATGACTGCCATTGCTAAAGTCAAAGGAAGCTGTGCACAAATATCTAAGAGCAGAATTTGGCCCCTGGCATGTATATGATAGCACACACCTGTCTCACATCACCATATTATCTAGACACAAGGAGATGAATCCAGGTTGTACTGTTAGCCACAACTTGGAATTGACTTGTTTTGCTGGTTTTTGTCTCAGTCTTAATGGAGTTAAACACAGTTTGGAAGCTTTCATATTCCTCATTTTTAATTATCGAATAATTTGCATTAAAATTTCTCCTTCCTACCATAGAAAACTGTTAGACAAATGCATATTTATGGGCATTATAATAATGTCCCTGTGTTATCCCATCATATAAAGGCTGCTGACACTCTGCAATATTTCTTCAGTTGACCATGTATTCCCTGACTCTGGAATGAATCTCCTTGCTGCATATGACCAATGGAGAGAGTGTGCTGATAGCAAAGCCTGTTGTGATTATTCACTGCATATTGACATCACACGCTGGCATGAGAGCATAAAAGAGGAACTGGAAGCTCTAGTGAAAGACAAAGGTAAGGACAAAAAGACCAGTATTCTACTAACCTAGTTACCATCAAGAGTGAAAGTTAACACAAGAAAAAAGATCAGCTACTTTTTAGGGAAATATGCATCCCTCTAACATCAAGAAACCTCCTTTGGTAGTACAAGACAAAATTATTGGGCCTAGTTCTGAAGTCCTTACACTGTCAAGACTCCCACTGACTATATTGGAGATTTATCTGTGTAAGGAATTTAGGATTGGACCCATAGGGCCAAATTGTGCAATATTACTTCACTTTTGTAATAAACTGGATATCAAGGGGTTAACCGGGTTACTCAGAGTATTATGGGTTGGAGCCATGCTCCATACCTTCTTCGCCTCTTGTTTAGTTAGTGGGTGCTTCCCCATTCCCCAGCCACTCTGTAATATAGTGGAATAAAGCAGCACATTCCCAGCCTGCAGTACTGAAAGTAGAGTGTATATCTTGTGCGCTGACAGTCCCTTCACAAAAACTTGTACCTGTAGTTCCTGTATATAAGAACCCGTGGATATCTACCTAGTGGACATTGTCTACTGAAGAACTCACCCACCACAGGATTAGTGCATTTCACTAATATGTCGCATTAGTCACATATTTGGGGCTGTGTTTTGCGCTCAGACGCGCTACACAAATCTAATTGGCTTCAATGGCAATTGCAGTTGTACATTCAGGGACAGAATTTGTCAGTTAACACAGAGACTATTAATGAATCTTCCATTAAAATTCTCAGTGGTAGTTAAGGAAGCAGAAGCTGAAACCAGACATTTTTCATACTTACCCATATATAGTAATGAAATGGAGAGAATTTCATAGTGTGATTATAAGTTAAAAACAGTGTAAAGCAATACAATAGAAATTAACATGCTAGGCCCCAACACTAAATGAATCAGAGTACACATTAGATAGAAACGAGTTATGCATTTTGTGCAATGTAATATACGTAAGTGTTGTATACGTAATTCTATAACTAAAGGAAATTGTTTTGAATGTAGTGCTTTTGGCTTCAATTTGTACTTTTAGCTTTAATAAAATGATTCAAATACAGCACCTAGAAACGAGCCAGCATTAGAGCTTAGAATTCAAACCTGTTTGTGAAAAGGGTTAAGATTCAGATCCAGGAATCTGAACTCACCTGTGTGGTTTTGGTTCCCAGTTGGATCTAAAACTAGAAATGGGTTGTTGATTGGTTCTGGTTTAAATGCATCTAAAAACTAATAGCGGTACAACATCTTTCATGAACTACAACATTTGGGGCCCAAATCTCATAAGAACAGCTACAAGTTTTCATCCCTCTTAGTCAAAATCTGAACCCTAGCCTTGATTCAATCTCAATCCTCAACACTAGTCTAAAAACCTTACCTAGATCTGAACACCACCTTTTCCATCCCTCTCTAATAGACATGAGTGAGTTGTTTTCAGCTGTGACAATAAATATACATGTAATTTATTTTTTTTAAGGTGTGAACTCCTTTCTAGTTTTCATGGCTTATAAAGACAAGCTCCAGTGCACTGACGCCCAGGTAACACAGAATAACTGAAATGCAAAAAAGTAATCAACTACACTTTTTATAAACTGTACCTATCTGACTCTAGAAAATTCTTTCCTTCCTTCCTGACAGATGTATGAAATATTCAGCATTATTCGCGACCTGGGTGCCATTGCCCAAGTGCATGCTGAAAATGGAGACATCATTGACGAGGTATAGTAAATGTATCCATTTAAATTAAAAACTAGTCACAATATTAATTTAGGCCAAAATGCTGCCCTGAAATGGAGTGGCTGCACAACGGGCAGTATGGGGCAGAGCAGTGCCAGACACACTTCCAGCATTTGAGTCATCCTGCCAGCTCAGAAACAGGTGGCACAAAGCTGGCCAGGAGGCATACATTGTTGGGAGTCCCTGGCTACTTCTGTGAAAAGAATCAGCATATGCTCCACTAGTGCATGCTGCCAGTCACAGTATCACGCAGATCGTACTCCGATTGAAATTATTGGCAAAACTTTCATTGGCTTCAGTGGCTGAGTTAAGGAAACATGAGAGTCCTGGAGATGAACTTCAAGGATATCTGCAGAAGGGAATATGGATGGTACAGAAATAAAAATTCGATAAATTTGCCAGTAGAGCAAACCTTCTTGGGTCTGCAGTGTAGTGGCCAGTACAGAAGCTGGTCTCTCTCCTCAGTGCTCCCTGCAGTGTTAGGTTGGTATTCTGCCCTGATAAGGCATGTGGGAGGTAGAGGAAAATTGCTCTCTACATCTTTTTCCCTGCCTAGTCCACCCACCCACACAACAAGGCAGGACTTGGCCTTTAGGATAAGCTGATTACCTGAGCTTTGGAGGGAGTGGACTGGCAGCAAAGCCTGTTGTGACATCATATATTGGCAGAAGAGCTTGGAAGGAGATCTGGAGTCCTTATTAAAAGCAGAGGCATCATGCTGATTGTTTGCGTCCAGTTGGTTATCATCACATGTACATTTATAACAGCTGTCTGCAGATTTTAGGGATTTTTACTTCTCTAAACTGTGCCTGCTTTTGGAGATGTCTTATTCTCATTTTGTTTAAAAATTGGAGGCTCTAGCCCTGAACATTCAAGAGATTTGAGGCTTTCACAGTAGTGTACATTTCAGATGGACACATAGTTCCAAATGTAGGGTCAAATAGCAACAAGGGAGTATTTTGCATTCAAAATTTGTATTGATTTTCATTCTACCTGTCTCTAGTCTAGCCTAGAAAAATGTGAAATAAATGTTTGGAATATACAATGCAGAATAGAAGTAAACTTGTCATTCATTCCGAATAAGAATCAGGTAACTGAATGGGCAGTATTATATAAGAGATGACTTTATAATTAAATGCCATTTCTCAACACTTCAGGTAGCCTTTTTGTATCAAACAGGCCTGAACTTAAAACCAGTTTTCCCCACTAGGATTTTTCATTCTCCCTAGCTGGCTGTTAAACATAATGTGATCCCAAGCAGTTCAATATCTTCAAAAGTATTTATTTAAGCTGCAGCATGATAACATTAGAGCCCTTGAGGTGAACTTCCAGGATATTTGCAAAGGGAACATGGATGGTACAGAAATAAAAATTCCATAAATTTGGCAGCAGATTGTTCACAGAGGGCAGTAGAAAATTACAGAATCCACCCCTCCACTGATGATGGGTAGGAGTCAGCACTGCACAAAATGTGGACAATGCTAGATAAGAAGGGGTGTGGCCAGGACAGCCAAGGAATGTGCTGATTCAGCATATCCCCTGAACAGCGTCTGCTGACAGGAATAATTAGCAATTACTAGCAATAACTGCAATTTAAAGCTGTCCTTCCCCAGCAAAAACCCTGAGAGAGGGCAAACAATGGAAATACTCCTGGGTGGCTCCTCATATGATGCAGAGGGCCAAGATGGCACAGGGAGGTGTAAAATATACATGGTTATAACTATTTGATTAGTTGTGGAAAAATGGCATTTAACACGCACCTGCACTCTGCCCGTCCATCTTTGCTGGGAATGCCTCCAACATTCCATGCTGTGAGCAGTTTCAAACAGCCACATTCCCTCCTACCCCTGAACAGCCTGTTAAAGAAACATTTCCTTCACCTTCCCCCTGCTCCCCGCAACATGGGGTTTTCTTCACAAACATTACAGTGGCCTGAGGGTCAGGATGGGCAATAGTCAGCCCTTCAGTAATGACAGGTTTAGGATCGTATATCTTGCCCTCTTTCAGAGCTGCCATGGCTGCTTTACCAATAGGTAAACTAGGCAGCTGCCTAGGGTGGAAGATTTCTGGCCAGCTGCTTTTGACAGAAGATTTGGCCTGGTTGCCCCCCATCATGACAAAGGGGTGGCTGGGCCAAATCTGCCCCCCTAAGCCTATGAAGAGGTGAGCAGCACACTGAAGTTTTTCCGAGTGTGGCAGATTATCTTTAGTGGCCTCTGCAGAGCTGGCAAAGGGAGCTCTATTTCATTGGTGGATGGTGAGATTCCCAGCTTACTGATGGAACACACAGCATTTGCTCTTAGCCCTAGAGATGTTTCTCCAGTGTTAGTTATAATTTTCTCTCTCTCTGAGGCCCATGCTTTCGCCTAATGCTAAGAGCAAGGAGCTGAACTCCCTCTACCTCTATTGGCTTCTGTAGTAGTTGAGGGCAGCTGTGGATGTGCTCAGTACCTCATGGGATCAGGCCAGTGTTTAATTTGTGCGAGGGCTTTCCAGTGCCAAGCCCCAGCACCTCTAGGCTTGGCAGTTCATAGCCCCGGCACCTGGGCTTGCTGCATCAGTTATGAAAGTATAAAAATTACTTGAGTCCCAGCAGCTAATTGCTTGAGCCCTGGCACCTCTTTAATTACAAATTAAGCACTGGATCAGGCAACAGAGAAAACTGGCTCCACACGTTGAAGGCTATGAAAAAATAATACTAACAAAGGTAATAACATTCCCCTGAAAATGTGTGTGGGAGGGGATACACAGAATGCTGGACAGTGCAGTGTGGTATAAAGTCTTTTTCGATGCTCACTTGGGATGACCTGCATAAATCATTGCCACCAGGAATATGTATGGGACTTCACAAGCCCCTCAATCTGCACTTCTAAAAGGATAGGAATGCCTTGTGTGATGGAACTACCCAGCCTTCAGCCTCCTGTTCCACAGTGAGTTTGAAGTGCCTGAATGATTAGCCCAGGAAAAGCACATAGTTATCACTGCATATTGCTTAATTGTTTCTGAGCAAGTGAACACTACCAATATGTTGTCAAATCACTAGAGTGTAGTATGCTGAGTAGTATGACCAATCCCACTAGAATGTCTTGTTTATTATTGTCATAGCAGAGACGAGAGCATCTTCTTAAAATGCTCTAATTGTCATGGATATAAATGGTATTCCAGGATATTATTTAGGAATTTCCATACCCCTCAAGTACTTCTAGACATGATGTTCCAGTCCCACATTATTTTAGATTGTTCCCATCACTTACTGTTTCTCTCATTTTTCTACATTCACTTAGGAGCAAAAGAGACTGTTGGAACTTGGAATTACTGGGCCAGAAGGGCATGTTCTTAGCCACCCAGAGGAGGTAATATCTTAAGTTCTTCAAATGGACATGTTTAGAGCTTTAGAGAAGTCTCCACTCATGTTCATGAAACTAAAAGAGATGTGGTAAGATGTCACCTGGTTGTGTTCTTGTTTCCCAAGGTTGAAGCAGAGGCAGTGTACCGTGCAATTACAATAGCAAAACAAGCCAACTGCCCATTGTATGTCACAAAAGTAATGAGCAAAGGTGCTGCAGATGTGATAGCTCAAGCAAAACGAAAAGGTAAAACACCACTTCACATTTACACACTAATTAAAACTTTTTACTTGTCTGCAATAAAAGGGAGCTAAGAGTTCATAATTAGCCAATTTCTAGTACACCTGAAAAGCACAAAACTTGATGTTAGCTTCAGTTTTCAAAATGTACTGGAGTTTAATTGCACTGAAGTGAACTCAAAAGAGTTGAAGAGATTGGCTGAAGACTTTGCTACACAAGCCTCATTAGGTGGAGTTGGAAAAAAATGTCAAGAATTCATTTCCAACCTCTTGTCATGCTTTGAATGGAAAAAATGAAACTGGGAATGACTGAGAACTCAAACTGCTGACACACTGGGAACTAATAGAAATATTCCTCCAAGGAAACAAGGTAACACAATACCTAGAATGTAGTAATTCAGACCGATCCTCAGCTGGGGATCTCCATTGAAGCCAATGGAGCTGTGTTGACTTACACCAACTGGGGTGGGAATCTGGCCCACAGTGCATGGACGTGAGTGACAGAAGTGAGAGACAGAAATATCCAATCATAAACATACAAGACTGTGTCTATCCCAGGTGTAAATCAACTGATTTAAATGGAGTTACATCAGGAGGGTGCATTTTGCCCACAGTTTTTGTGTAATTTTTGGTATCTCATTGAGAGGGATTTTTAAACACTTTCCCCTCCCTGTTGCAAATAAGGAGCCATGTCCTGAAGTGTTTGTTCTGCTTTCTTTGGCCTTTCTCAGCAAAAAATAGGACTGAATAGACTCTAGGGTTTGGCCAAGACTGTTTTTTGATTGGTACTTTGTACTTTTACAAGGAATACTGTTCAATTTTGTAGCAATCTGATTGGCTGACAGAAATTCAGAAAACTGAAACACAGAGAAACTGGCTCAAACCATCTTTTATTCCTAATCTTAGCATTTGTCTACACTGTGAGAAAAGAGAGTACACCATCGGGAGTATGTTACATATTTTCAGATTATGTATTAGCATTATTATTCTTTAGGCACAGTTGTGTATGGAGAGCCAATTACAGCGAGTCTTGGCACTGATGGATCACACTACTGGAGTAAGAATTGGGCCAAAGCTGCAGCCTTTGTTACATCCCCTCCAGTTAGCCCTGACCCTACTACATCTGATTATCTCACTTCTCTGTTATCATGGTGAGTTGGCAAGGAGAATAAATGACAGTGGCATGCGGAACAAAACCCAGTCCCTGGGGTTATTATTATTCAACCACAGAGATGGGCCCAAAGAGCAGAGTGGAGTTTTGATCCAATCACCTTATAGTTCCATGCTGTCTGGATCTGGGGTTTTGGCTTAGGGTCTTCGCTAGTCATCACCAAAAAGCTCACTGAATAGAAGCATTCAACAGCACTCCTTGTCAGCTAAAGTACTATTCAGCCTGAATAGGGATGGAAAAATCAGCTCCCAAAGTAACACATGAAGACTGTGTAGGGTGAGACTATTGACCTATAGAAGGGCAGCTATAGTAGTAAATATTCTGCCCTAATTAGTCTCCTGATGAGAATTATTTTGCATTCTCTGAGATTTCACAAAATTCTTCTCTCTAGAGGTGTGACTGGACTCTAGGGAAGCAAACAGATTTTATTTGATGAATCTTTTCCCTGTGGAATAATGTCCACTAACAGATAATAAAATATGCATATAATTCAATCTAAATACAGCCTTGACATAAATCAAGAAGGATGTTTCAGGGCTCCATAAGCAGATGTCTGCAGAGAGTCTCATTCCAGAGAACCACCTCAGCTCTCCCCTTTCCTTCTCCCAACCCTATCAGCCTATCTCAAATTTGTTGAGTTATAATAGATTCTGGTATATAGAATCTAGTTTTGTCCTGGGTCAGGCCATAGCCAGGAATACACCTGATATAAAAGGTCCTTTAGAATAATTTCTTGAAAGGCTGTCAGGGCCAAAAGGATGGATCAAGAATCAAGACTGGGATGTTGATTTAAGGAGTGCAGTTCCTGGGGATTTAAGGTAACATTTTCAGAAGTATCTAGGCGCTTAAATCCAATGGACTTAAGAACTTAAATCACTTAGGCACCTTTGAAAATTTTACCCTAAGGATGAAATTCACTGCTGCACAGAAGGCTAAGCACAAGACCTATGAGCCATTTATGTCACACTTAACCTGCTACACAGGAGATAATTTCACTCTGAAAGAGTATATAGTTGCATAGAAAAGGCCCTTGAATTATTACACTGAACAATACAATCTGAGCAATCAGTTTTGTCCATTAACTGCATTTTGGTTTGTTTTAACTCAGTGGGGATCTGCAGGTTGCAGGCAGTGCCCACTGCACATTTACCACCGCTCAGAAGGCAGTAGGAAAGGATAACTTTACCCTTATTCCAGAGGGAACAAATGGCATTGAAGAAAGAATGTCAATAATTTGGGAGAAGTGTGTGGTAAGTAACTAAATAAGTGTAAATGTTTGCTGAATTATCAATGCAAGTGCGTGCAAGTGGCATTTTTGTCAGATATGAGGATTTAGACAATAGCAAGATTTTCTTTAATGGAAGGAAAGAGGTACATGATCATCTTACATTGCTAAATTCCTCATTGTATGACATTATCTAGGCTGCTACTTAAAAAAGCTTTGCTAATGAGAGAAAATATAACATTTGAATGTAAATATCTTGAAAGAGCTTCTTATTAGAAGAATATTCTATCCCATTCTGAACTGTGATCAGAAATAAAAGTCTATCCAGAAGATTTTTGTAAAGGCAAGAAATGGAGTTTCCATTTGTATTCTTTTCCAGTAGGCCTGGGCAAGATATATGGAATTTATTCATTTGTAATTTCTGCAACATTATAGTTCCCTCAAAATAAGTTGTGAGTCTCTGTGTTGACCTCAATAAGCTTTGGATCAGGTCCACAGTGAATCCTGAGTGTAGTTTGTTATTAGAGACACAAGGTGGGTGAGGTAATATCTTTTATTGGACCAGCTTCTGTTGGGGAAAGACAAGCTTTTGAGCTACACAGAGCTCTTCTTCAGGTTTGTAAAAAGCACAGCTGACATAACAATGCACTAATTGTTTAGCCTATACTAAAAATGTTCACCTTTGAAAATATTGATCGTCATCTTCACTGGAGCCCTGTCTCTCTGTCTAGGTTCTTATACCTCACCCATCATTATACTATCTGAGCCCTTTCTTCTGGTACCTCCAGTTTCTTGTATCCTTCTCCGAGTAGCATATTGAGGATCAATAACACTTAGGAAGCTCCGGTTCCAATAAACATGAAAATTTTCTATCTAAGACAAGAAATTATATAATCTGAAGACTGACTCACTTCAGTATCAACTAAAGAAAGTTCTGGATGTGAGCCCAGTACTTGCTGAGAGAAGTGAGTCCTATAGATGAAAGTGCTGCCAGATGAATGATAATGATACATAGTAGTTGCCATAGACCTCTCTGTAGCCTCACTTCACCATGTACACTTATTATTCAGTGTTGTGGGATGCAGTGTCTGTTGTGTTGAGCAGTATTCCTGTCATAGGAGTACCTACATAGTGACTATAAAATGGGAGCTGTAATCAGTTTTCAAACATGAAACATTCTAACAGTTTTTAATTACTAGTCCTGCAGGGACAGCCAATTTTTGAATTAAACGCGCGGCCCACGATTGTGCGATCTTCTCTATGTACAAATATCATAAATTCTAGATGAAATTGCAAATTCATTTCTGATAAGACCTCATTTTCTGTAATAGTTTTCCTTTCTCAGTCTCCTTTCTTTCTGATTTCCAGGCCTCAGGGAAGATGGATGAGAATGATTTTGTAGCAGTGACCAGTACAAATGCAGCCAAAATCTTTAATTTTTATCCCAGGAAGGGACGAATTGCTGTAGGTTCTGATGCTGACCTAGTTATATGGAATCCCAAGGCTACAAAAATTGTCTCAGCAAAAACCCACCATCTGGTAAAATCATTTTGTGAGATTTAATTTCTTTTTTTTTATATAGGATTTTGCAACCAGGGTGTATTAGTGAAATAATGTATTCCCTTTAATCAGAGAGAAATTGAAACAGAGAGAATTTGGGTAAAATAATAGTATCATTGTTTATTAAATCTCAGTGGGAGAAAGGAAATAAATCCCTTTTGTTATTGGCATTTACTGCAATGGCACCAAAAATATGTAGAGTAATGCTCTAGAATAGTGCAGTAGTAAAACAATACATGATGACCATTCTTTTGCTGTAAATGTGATACTATTAGTATGTACTGTATAGGCATAGAAAAAAAATGTACAACCCTAACCTGAACATTTCCCTGTCCCAGCCTTTCTCCTGAATTCCACTGAACAACCTTGAATTGCTGAACATGTGGAATTTTAAAGGGCTTTAAAAGATTTAACTAAACTATTGAGATAGAAGTTTGTTTTAGTTAGCAAATTACTGGGATTGTTGATATATTCCCTGAGGGTTGGATAAATGCAAGGGCTGTACTCTTTCAAATGTAAAACTAAAAAGAGGAAGCAAGATTGATTCCATTTCGGACAGCTATGTAGGGACCATTCATACTGGAACAAACCCTGGGGTCCTTACTCTGTGTTTACTCAGCCCTTTCTCTGGTAAATTCCCACTTCACCAACTGGAACTTTAGGCTAACTTGTGGGGATGAATATCACCTACTTAGGAACGCCTCCTTACCCTTATCTCTGCAAATGATTCACCAGCTGAGAAACTACCCCCACTCTCAAAAGCCATTTGCCAAAGGGAATCTTTCAACAACATGAGTCTTATTGGAGACCCAAACCCAGCTTTTCTACCCTTTCCCTGGTCCCAAATAGGCTTGTCTCTCTCTTTGGTAATATTCCACTGGGGAAAGACTCAGTGTCTGTTCAAACTGTACCTTCTCTAGGGTTTCCCAGTTCATAGGTATCCTAAAATGAACTCCCATTTGAAGGGTTAGTGATAAAACTACATGTAACATTAGTAAAATGTAGAGGGTAGAACTGATTTAAATTATTTTGTTGAAATATTTTTGACAAAATATGACTTTTTGACCAAAAGGAAATATTTTTCAGAAAATGAAATTTTCTTGTCTTTTGTTTGAACAGAAACTGATGTGTTTCAGTTAAAAATTGCTTTTCAGTTTGATTTTCAATAAAGAAAAATTTGCCTTTGCTCTTCAGAAACCAAAAATTATTACCTTTGTATCAAAAATTGTTTTTGAAAGCTGAAAAAGATTTTTCATTTGGAGATGGGGAGAATATTTTTAAAAAGAGAAAAAAAACTCCATGGGAAGTTTTGAAAAATGAAATGCTTTCAAATTTCCCACAAAATATAACTGGAATTTTTCAACCAGTTCAGCTAGACAACTTGCGGTTTCCTGACAAACATAGCAAAAGATTCCGTCAGTCCAGGGTAAGTTTCAGCAGAAGCCTGCTGGGGATCTAGGTTAAGCAATTGGAACTTATTCATACCTAAAATTGGGCTCTGGTTTGCTTCACAAATGGCATAGTGTGTGGTTTAGGCTAGTACTAAATGTTCATGAATTTTGTTTGTCCATTCCAGTTTGCTTTAGCTCACCAAACTGATAGAGAATCTTATTTTTTCATATCTAATCTAAAGGATTATTTAAGGAATGATTAATTATACATGAAGAAGGCATTACAAAAATTGGGTAGGCTGTGGGTTTATGGCTTTTTTGTTCTTAGCCCTAAACTAACTCTGAATATCCTGGTTTGGATTTGTCAGAATGTGGAATGTAATATATTTGAAGGAACAGAGTGCCGTGGTTCTCCTACTGTGGTTATAAGTCAAGGAAAAGTTGTGCTGGAAGATGGAAACCTCTTTGTCATTCAAGGGTCTGGTCGCTTCGTTCCTAGAAAGACATTCCCTGATTTTGTTTATAAAAGAATAAAGGCAAGAAACAGGGTAAGGAGAATTTTTATTTGCAAGAAAACAATCTCTGTTCTGATTTATCCCTTTTTTCATATTGCTATTAGTGTTGTGTTGCAGCATCCCAGAGCCTTCTGGTAGGACCGAGAAGGGAAAGGGGGCCCTTTACAGGAGCAAAAATATAATTAATGTTATCTGCTTGTAGGCCTTGAAAACGTGTAAAACTATCAAATAACTGCTCTTGTGCATTGCCTGGCTTATGCATAAACAATGTTACTGTTCAAATGACAATTCTTACACCTGATACCACTTATTAATTCACATTCATCTTAAAATAAAAGAAAACTGTATTGAATTTTAATATGCAGTTCCATCAAATATGTTGTACTGGATGATAAGGTATGTACTGGACAAATAGAATGTCTTCAAGGAGATTCAAGGGTAAACTAATCTACTAATTACAGGAGAGTAGACAGGAAAAGTACAAAGACGTAAGATGCATTATGTATCTAATTGCATGGTCCTTCTAAATTCAATTTGAAAGGTAAAAGATTTTAAAATAATGTATTTCATCTGAATGACATGATACGTTATAATGAAATGATGGCAACATTTTTACAATTTAATTGTAGATATTTCTCATTAGAGATGTCCTGGGCTGAGTGGGTCTCTGATATTTTTATTTCAAATAGCCAATGTAGGAAACCACACTTTGTGATATATCCCATAACGAAATTAATTAAGTTCTTCTCACAGGTCTTTTCAGCCATTGTTGGCAAATGCTTATTGCCTCCAATTGTGCAAATTGGTCATTAGTATGTTCTGGACAAATACTTTAAATCTGTTACATGCATGTTATTGTAGCAAGTATGTGCTCATCCAAGAATGTTTAGACTGGAGAAAATTCTAAACAATGTCAAAGTCAATGGGGATTGCAGGGGAACAGGGAGTTCCTAATACCTCTCTGGATTTGACTTACTCTTTAGGTTGCCCATTTGTGCCCTGGATTGCTAGTATGCAGGGTTGCTCCCTTCCTGCTTGTCATATCCCCTGTGCTGGCAACTGGAAGAAGGGGTAACATAGGAACTATTAAGGCAATTCTGTCACAGGAATGATCTATTTCTGTATGTAAGTAAATAGTTAATAGATAAGGTGCCAATACAACGAGCTCAGAAATATTTTCCATAGTTCCTTCATTTTATAGGACCAATAAGACTTATTCTACACCAGGGATCGGCAACCATTGGCAAGCAGCCCATCAGGGAAATCCGCTGGCGGGCTGGGATGGTTTGTTTACCTGCAGCATCCACAGGGCACGGTGTGCCGTTCCAGGCCATGGGGGCTGCGGGAAGCAGGAAGGGGCGAGGGATGTGCTGGCCGCCGCTTGCCGCAGCTCCCATTGGTCTGGAATGGCGAACTGCAGCCAGTGGGAGCTGCGATCTCTGAATCTGCGGACGCTGCAGGTAAACAAACCGTCCCGGCCTGCCAGCGGATTTCCCTTATGGGCCACGTGCCAAAGGTTGCCGATCTCTGTTCTACACTAGCTTCCTTTGGTGACTCTTTATATCATCTCTTAGTTGCACCATGGCTCCATTTTTCCATGTGTTTTGTGGATATTTTCATTATTTGATGTATGGAGGGCAAGTATCAGTAACCACTTCATTTCTCCCAGATACACCAATGCACGTCGGCAACTACAGCAATAACCACATGATGTGATTTACTGTAGCTTTTCTTTTCTCTGTGAATTCATTGCTGTAATAGAGGTACAACAGTGGAAGCCAGAACAAGTAAAAGAAACTGACAGAGCCCTTTAAAAACTATAAATCCTGTTCATGGCAGCTAGCCTTAGCTTTTAAAGCTGGTCATTTAAAACTAGAGTGGAAGCAATGATCTGTGCAGTGACCATATTACCTGCTCTCTCAGCCACCTGCAGTCCTTCCTAAGTTTCTGGTATGGCCATGAAAATGAAACTTATCCTGTAATATGAAGAATTGCTCCTGTATGCTCTCCTACCTGCATTTTCCCCTCATATCTTTCACCCTTCTTAACTGGCAGATAAGCGATTGCTAAGTCTGGTTGATCCCACTCGATGTGACAAAAGGCCTCCAGGCTATTTGCTACTAATCAAACTCCATCTATGTTATGTTTGAAAGTAAAAACATTGTGTCATTTTTCATCATCCAAGAAAGGCACTTTGCTAAATATAAACTTTTGCTCACATGAAGCTGGAGGTTCCTAGACTCTGAGTTAAGCATCAGATCAGGTGGTCGCTGATTGCTTGTGAAGTTAATTCATGTGGGCAGTCACATTTGATATTATGGGCAGTTAGTCTGGTTGTCTGCATTACGTTTTTTGGTCCCTTGTCTAGCAATGGCTTTTTGGAGAGAGAAAAGGGTCCAAAATGGTGTTGGAAAATATTGCATTGGATATCAACTTTACACAGTTTTCAGTGTTACAGAGATGAAGATCAGATGGCATGACAGGTTAGCAATGAAAGTGAAATGCTATTTGAAAATGCAGAATAGTTATTCTTTACAATTTATATCTGTCCTGACTTCATTATGCTCAAACCCAACCCTTTTTCTATTTTCTAAATGCTCTGTTCTAGTTTTTTATCATAAAATGACTGGTACATTGTGTGGCTTGGGATGAGAAATGGCTATCTGCAGGTTATAATGTGAATGGAGTACTCGTATTGTAGCTATTTCTCTGCACTAACTTCAGATCTTTTTACCAGTCAAGAAGATGGATGGTTTAAAGTAGCACCTGATGCAATAGGACATTTTAATCATGCCCTGTCAAGTTCGGTTGAGTTGTGTCACATCAGAACTCACAACATACCAAAGGGAAAACAGAATGGAATGTGAGGTGGAAAAATGCCATTTTTGTGTGTTCTCTGTAACAAAAAATAAAAATACAGTAAGTCTTTTGCCAATAAGCCAAAATTATGCACTGCTCCTTCCTCATGTCCACTGCAAAGTTCCAGTCTAGCCCTGGAGAGGAAAATATTGATCTCAGTGTTAGGAGGTGAAGAATACTGGTTTAAAGAATCAACTGGATTGCAAGCTGTTCAGGGAAGGGCCAATAACTTTCTGTGGCAGTGTACAGTGCTCAGCATGCACTGAGGCGCAGTAAAAATAAAGACATTAACAGGATGAATAGTAATAAAATTAATGATAGAACCCTGAAGACACACTGGGCTCGATTCTGACACATTGGGCTTGATTTATTTTCCCTAAGGCCCCTTTACACAGTTCTAGCAGTGTAAAGTGGCCTGAAACTGGGTGTTGTTGTAATTTAAGTTGAGAGCAGCGTAACGGCCTTAGTGTACCATGCTCACTGTGTCTAAGATACCCTGACAGCAAACACTTCCTATTTCCTCTCCCTGTATTATACTTTGGGGGAGCCAGGGTACCATATCATCACCAGGTGGCCAATTTAATGGAAAGGGACCTTTGTATGGGAGACTGACAAGGATGATGGAGCCCAAAACTGACCTGCCATTTTCTTTTTATGCCGGCCAAAATCTATGTAACTCCTTGTAAAATAATTTTCCAGAGCAAATGTTTAATGTTCTTTCTTCTCAAACAAATAACCTAAACCTATGTGCAACCCTACAATAATAAATCAGGATATGTATGACGGAGAGAAGAAAAATCAGTAAGGGAACAGATTTCAGCTTGAAGCTTCTCATCATTTCATCCAGAATCAACTCACATATTTATCCTCTATCTCACTACAGCTTGCTGAAATTCATGGTGTTCCCAGGGGGCTTTATGATGGGCCAGTTCATGATGTCATAGTGACTGCTAAAGCTGTAGCCCCCACTCCTACTTCAAGGATAGCTCCCTGTTCAGGCAAAATACCAACTCTTCCTGTCCGTAATCTGCATCAGTCAGGGTTCAGCTTGTCTGGTAAGTTTGCTCAGTGGGTACAGTAGCATTTGCAGGTAGAGATGAACATGGGTAGCTTAGACTGACTGAGAAGTGCAAATATTGTTTACAAACCATACCCCAGTCTTGCAGTGAGCTCCCTGCAGGCAGACCTGTGCACCCATGAGGAACCCTGCTGAAGTTAAGGCAACTCCAAATGGATGCTAGGGGTCCATTCAAATTGAGCTCAATGGCAGGGTCAGAGCTTATGTTATTTACTCAAGTAGAAGGAAAAGATTGAGGTCTAGAATTGCATAAGTAATTTCTGCTAATGTAAAAGACAAATTGTATTAATAACTAAGTTTATGTGATGATTGCCTTGCTGCTTTTGAGAAATCACTTTTCCTGCTACAGTACAATTTGCAGAGCTATCATATCTTACATACAAAAGCAACACAAAATTCTTCCAGATGGTTGAAAGCTATCCATGCAAATACATTAAAGTATGTAGGTCACAAGATAACAGAGAAGATGCATGTCAAGTTTGAATTTAAAAATGAGGTGGCCAATGGATATGAAACAGGGAAGATAAAGGAGCCAAGGACAGGCATCAATCTGATGAGGTCTGACAACAGAGGTTGAAATCTTGGCCCCATTGAAATTGATGGCAAAATTCCTATTAACTTCACTGGGGCCAGGAATTCAGCCTGAGTTGTGTCCTTTTCCAATTCCATAAAAGAAGTGGTTGGATATGTAGGAAAGGAAGATGGCTGAGATGCAAACAAACAAAGAAAAGGCATCAAGTAGTATTATATGGTTAAAGCACAAAGGTCAGGACAGATGGGGAAGGAGAGAGTGAGAAGGAATCATAGTTACAGAAGAGAAAAGTACTAAACACATATATAGCAATTGACAAATTCAGCACTGTGGCTAGAGTGGAGGCAAGATGACAAATGTTCATGTACAGTAGCTTGTTTTAGGGGAGGTCATTGGCTAGATGAAAAGATAGTCTCTCAAGATTTTATTTAAAAAAGGGAGAATCACAACTAAACTAGTAGCTAGTAGGGGAAGTTGATATAAGGAGGAATGGTCACCCAGATCTTATAATGAATGCTCAGAGCAGCAGTACTTCAGCCAATGGCTGGGAGACTGTCACATCTCTATAAAGGCATAATACACTCACATAGAAGATTTACTGCTTGTGAGTTTCCTGAATTGAAGATGCAAACCATGACAGCCATCCCTTTTTTTCCCTTTCATTAGGAAAGGGAAGAGTACTGCATATCTAGTTGTACAATGGTAGGTTTAAATTGATTTCATGTTCATTTTGATATATATCCTGGTGTAAATAAAGTTGAAATTTGACTTCTACATACAAAAAATCATACTGTGAAAGATCGTTTCCGCTATTTTATCCACAGTGATGCAATTTTGAGTTTTATTTGAATCGTGGGAGTACCACACGCACTTTCTTAAGTTATTTGGCATATATGAACATCATGCATGTGCTGCTCAACTTAGTGTCACACTGTATTTGATGCATGAACATGTGTGCCATAGCTCAGAAGAATTTTGAAAGCAAATGCCACATTATACAGTGACGGATAAAACTCTGCACTTAATTGACTGAGATCACATGGATCCTAGACAGCTTTACATGAAATGAAGTCCCAAAATGTTATTATCTGGAAACTATTTATTCATGGAGAAACAAACCATTACAAAGAATTTCTAGAATCAGTATGCAAAGGATCTTTCCAGGAAACCGGTTAGAATTTTCCAGTTCCTTCCAATCATAATACACTCTTTCATTGTATTTGACAGCATTTCCTATAATTAATCCTTTTAATTTAGTCTCATTATGGATCCTGGCATGTTTAGTTTCCCCACTACTAAGCTTGAAATATGCTTTGGTTAGATCTCAATCTGAGTGTGAAAACATAATAATGTTATTTAATCTTCAAATTATCAGTATAGTTTGTAGCTTCAGTGCTGATTAGGAGGGTTGGTAAAATTCAAAAGCATTTTAACTACAAATTACAAGATTCTACAGATCCTACAGTTCATTGGTTATGTCACTGCTGCATACCTTATTTATAAAGTTGTCCCAAAGTGTAAAAAGTGCAGGTATTTATTTTTGTTTGAATTTTATTGTTCAGTTCCAAATCAGTATGCATTAAGGACAAATAAATTGCTATTGATTACTCATGTACATATACCGTATATTGTTATGAACAAAAACATTTCATTTAATAATTCCTGTATTTAAATCAATGGGGTCGTCACTTGTTTGTAGCCCTTCAATTTCTATGTCTTCTCTTCTAGGATCTCAAACAGATGACCATATTGCAAGACGCCCTGCTCAAAAAATCATCGCACCCCCTGGTGGACGTTCCAATATTACATCTTTGTCATAATGATTCCAAATGTGATGTATTGTATTCCCTGCCAATCAGTCTTGGGTTCCACTGGAGCAGGTGATCTGGGGAACAGCATTTTTCAGATCTGTTTCGCATTTACAGAAAATGTATCTTAAAAGACTGCCTTGTTTACACTCACCCAGAACACCTTGCTTTATGAGCTGTAAGCAACAGAAGTACAGCTCTAAGTAGCAACCTTACCAATTAATTATATGGCCATAATGTACACTGCCAGGGCAAGGGGCTTGGGTGGAGTGGACACCATGGAAATATAAAATTGATCTGCCATCAAGCTCAGGATAAAATTAACCATGTGTCAGTTTACCCACCCCCCATCCTTCCCTGAGTGGAAAATAGGCTAAAAATGCCCAAGATAATAGAACTCCCATCAAGTATTTTAAATATGTTTCTCTCTCAAATAGATATTCAGCAGATCTTTGACACATGCATGTAAACAATAAGAAGTTCATTTAAAAATGTGTTCAGCTGTGCTGCTAGCTGTCTTGTAATCAGGACAAAGCTGAAGACATGTTTTGTGTTTAATAGGTTCTTTGTTTCCTTTCCAATAACAACTACTGCCCTTTGTATTCTAAGGAATTTTAACTGGTAAACACTCAACTCTGTATGTTTTTAATACAGTTAGTTATATATATTGTGGTTGAAATGATCAGTAATCATATATTTATACTATCTCATTGCGCAGGCCTTGAACATGCCTTGGGAATCATTGTCACTCTGTACCAATGTGACAGCATGAATATAAGAAATTGAAGTGTGGTCTGAATGTTCATGGAGTTAGTTGTCATAGTGTCAATATAGGCATACTAATGCATTGAGTTTTTTGGGTTTTTTTAATAGTTGTATTTCTGGAACACAGAGACGACAGTGGAAGTTCCAGTGTATTTTAGTCTTTTTGTTAGACTCGTTTTTTAAAGATTATTTATACAATTTTCCAAGTAACAAGCGGAGGCAAATTGAAGGCCAGTTGCATCTGATGGACTCTTTTATAAAGCTTAATACAACAGGTTTATTATATTTAAAGCTATGTACAGTAAAGGTGATCTTATATGCAGTATCATTCCATAAAACTATGCATGTAATGTCAACAAAATCGCTATTTTGTTTCTCGTTCATTGCTTTCAATAAAGTTTGTTGGAAATCACCAAAATTATAAGGCCATTTGATTAATCTTTGTCTACTGTCTCCTACTGTGGGCTCTTATCCATAGTGAATCATAAAATTCACTTCTATACTTTGAGTTTGATCAGGTCTCATATATCAAGGCTTACCAAGAGCTCTATAACTAGTCTGTTCATAATTCCCAAAATAGTTTGAGTGCTTACTGAAACTCTTCGAGTTGTAAATCAGGCTGAAATACTATAAGACCAATCAGTCTTCCCCATTAGATTTCCCGTACTTCCTGTTTTCTCCTAGACTAGTGAAAGCCTTGAGAATGAATTTTCTTGGACTATTTCCATACTTCCATTTTTAGCCCCATCTGAAACTAGGAAATAAAAATGCACATAAAAGTTATGGAAAGACAACAGTTCAGGATTTGTTACAGTGGCAAAGACATATGAAATCTTCCCATACTTTCATTTTAGATTTGTGTTTTAATAAAAATTTGATCTGGATGTATCAAAATTATAGTCTTTGAGTGGAGTGTTTCATTGTTTGGAATTATTTCTTCAGTTTAAGGCCCTATTGTTATTTCACTAGTTCAGCTGAAAGAAACTCTTGAGCTAGTACATTTTTTGTGGGGCTATGCTTTCCCCCCTAGCTGATACATTTTAGGAAAGTGAAAAATTGTGGGAGTAAAAGAATGTGCAGTAAATATAAAAACTGCCCTGGGTTTCAGAGTGTACAGGGGATGAAACGGGGCCAGAATAAAGCCCTAAATTTGTTTTCTTCTTCAGAAAAATGACTTTTAAGTCTTCAGAAACCATACACACCAAGTACTTGAAAAAACAAAATGATCTTTCCCAGGTATGTAATTACCTCAGCTCACAGCCTTCTAGACAACCTTTCTCAAACACATTGGCTAGAATGCCAAACTTCATTAGAGCACTGAAAAAGATCAGAGTTTTGAAACCTCCACCTGCCACATAGTTAAGTGCTGAGACTATAAGATGTTGCTGCAACCCTACCTTTTTCATTTCCATATGGGTTTTCTGTACCATACACTCATACTCCATTGATTCACAATAAGCAAATCTCAAAAGAATGGCTCGTGAAATTGCTAGTAATTCCTAGCTTTGGTAGTGCTTCTGTTCCCGTATTTCAATGTATTGCATAAGTGCCCGAATCAAAAAATTCTGAAGTTTTTGCATGTTTTTTTAACTTCACAATAGATTTTGGGCCTGTAGGTTTGGGGCAATGACAGAGGCCTGTACTTACTCGTAATGGACTATTTTACCTGTCCTTATGCTCAGATACCATAGTGATGAGTTACAGTATAACACCCTAAGATAGATACGACTGGTAGTGACAGAGTGAGTTCCTTTCAATGAAGTTAGTGTTTGGAATAATTGTTGAGAATTTTTGTTGCTCTTGTAAAGTGTCTGGAGCGATGGATAGCATGTCAGTCTGAGGACACATTCCTTTAATTGCATTAATAGCTTCTAAAAAACCCAGACATTGTCAAAACATATGCAATAGTTTTGTCTTATTTACAGAGGTGATGGTCATCCATCTTTAAGATGTCTCAAATTGGGTACCCAGTAATTAAGGCACTCAATAATACAAGTCATTTTTAAAATCTAGGCTGCTTCTTTTATCAAACAAATATTGACTGTTTGCAGGAAAAAACAGATCAAGTCCGAAAATGTTAATTTATTTTATTTTTTTAGTAGCAAAATTATGTTCTAAGTTACTTTAGCACTAATGTGCATGAGAAATGACAGAGAAAGAACCAAACCATTACATCTTCCTACCCATGGCCCTGATTCAGAAAGGTACTTAAGCACTATTGAAGTCAGCGGGTTACCCATGTGTTTAAAGTTAGGAATGTGCTGAATGAGGGCCGTTGACTGCTCCTACATGAAGCTGGAGGGTCACATTATACTATTGCAATTGAGGAATTCTGCTAGTCAGGTGAAATAGTTCCTGCCCCTCTCTTGTGGCAATATAAAAACATTACATTAAGTAACCCACCCACTTCCTGGTTTTGCTAAATTCCAATCCCAGAGGAGAGAAGAGTATTCAGTGCAGGTACCTGCTGCAGGTAAGAATGGCTCACAGTAACACAATACAGCTAAGGAACGAAATGGAGTGAAATTCTTCTGACTCTATTGAAGTAAATGGCAGTTTTGCCATAGGCTTCAATAGAGTCATGACATTAAACAAATTGTGGTGAGCAGTGGCTAAACATTCTGTAACTCCAGTTACTCCCGAGTATACATTCAGGCTGACATTTTCAATGCCATCTTGGGGTTCTGGCCTGGATGCCCAATTTCTATTAAAATGAATGGAAAATGGGCACCCAAATCCCCTAGGCAGCTGTGGAAATCTAATCCTAAAATTTTTCTCCTCCTGCAACAGCTATCCCTGATATTGGAGGGGAGGGATTTGGGGAGAGGGATAGCTCAGTGGTTTGAGCATTGGCCTGCTAAACCCAGGGTTGTGAGTTCAATCCTGGAGGGGGCCATTTAGGGATCGGGGCAAAAATTGGGGATTGGTCCTGCTTTGAGCAAGGGATTGGACTAGATGACCTCCTGAGGTCCCTTCCAACCCTGATATTCTATGATTCCATGACTGGGTAACACACAAGGGAGGTTTCTGAACTCACAGCCACTCTGTGCTTGCAACAACCAGTAGTGGCTTGTCTAGACTGAGCATTAGTGTGAGGCAAGTTGAGGTGTAAATTTATAGTGTACACCTGTGAAACTGATAAATGAAATTGTTCATAAGTAAAGTTTTATGAATGAAACAACATTCATTCATAAAACCAGTCACCCCCAAGAACTACCTAATTGACAAATTAAGATGCTTGTCAAGAGCCATAGCTGTTCAACCAGCTGCCCTTGTAAATTTCTCTTTCAATCCAATTGCTGCTTAAATCACTGAAACTTGCACTATTTCAACATTGTAACATCTTCTCACTGTTTGCCATTCACTATACTTACCATATTGTAACTCAAACACCATTTTAAAATGCTCACTCCATTTTGTAAAAGCCTGCTACAACCTTCATTTTGCAAAACCCGGATGTAATCTTATTAGTTTAGTTTAGCCGTGTGAATGAGGTATGTATGGATGATGGAATCAACCTCCAGCCCCAGCCCGTCCTGATGAAATAAAGTGTAAACACCCAACGGCTGAAGATGCAGCCAACAGCCCTGACAAAGCAAGAAGAGTCCACCCTAAAAAGAAAAGACCAAAGGTACAATTGAAAGAACATCAAAGCCAGGTCCCAGGCTGAAAGTCATGTCTGCAATTGACGGGTGATCAATCATACCAAAACCAGAGGCAGCGTGACTCAGCAAGACCTATAGACTCTGGATTCAAACAAAAACCTACAAAAAGGATGGGTGAGATGGAAGATTTTGGAGGGTAACATTCTGCTGCCAACATGGAAGGGCATCAGTGCATGCCCAACAGAGACCCAGCTCTTCCTTGTGCCCACCTTTCCTGGCCAGTTAGCCGCCATAAGCTACAAACCAAAGCCGCAAACCCAAGCCACAAACTCAAGCTACATTCAGGACTGGTAACTATCTAGCAGCTGCAGAACATTTGTGTGTGTGAGTGTGTGTATAAGTATTAGGTATTAGCTAGGGGTTATAGATCAAATTGTTATCATAATAAACATGGGATCTTTGCCTTGTCCCCTAAAACGATCCTGTGTAGTTTTGTCTGCATAACACGCCATGCAGTACACTAACTGGCTGTGTGGATCCTGCTGCTGTGCTCTGAAATTCCCCAACTGCACACTGACCTAATCCGATAAACACCCCAGATTGCTGTATACTAATTCTCTACCTAGACAAAACAACACACAAAGCATCAGCTAAACCCTCCACTCTTCACTCTATTAAAAAGGGAGCAAGGGCCTCTCTGTTTCAAACTGTATAAAAGCTATATAATATTTGCTATGGCCTGAAAAAGCAACCTGTGCCAAAAGATAATTCACCGTGCTATAGTCAGATGCGAGCGATAGCTCGGGCTTTCGAGGAATAGCTGCTTTTTTCAATCTGGTCCTGGAATACTGCTGGGGTATCCATTCTGTGGGAGAACACAGGAGGCTGGGTATTGCAAGTAAAGGAGTAACAAGGACAGAGAAGAGCCTGGCTGCCCAGTTCTGTCCACAGGAAACTTAGACGATTGAGTCAGTCAAAGTGCTAAAATACCACGGTGATGGGGTGCCCTTATAAAAACCTAAATGGAAGGAAGGAACTAACAAACCATGAAAGCATGCACCACTTCCCAGACCAGGCAATCTGGAGGGAGTGTAGCAGAAAACGCCACACGAAGAGGTCTTCCCTTCCAATAAGTATGCTACTAACCTAGTGTTTAATATGGATAAAATGTGTTAATTGCATTGAAGCATAGATTTTTAAATCCAGAAGGGGACCATTCTGATCTAGTCTGTCTTTCTGCATAACAGAGGCCATAGAACCTCACTCAGTAATTTCAGCATCAAGCTTATATGAAATTATATTCCATTCAGGTCAACCTTCAATTTTATTTTATATTATATTTCAATATTATATTGGTGCACCTGTGCCAAGGCTAGATTTTTAAATGTATTTACCTGTTTTCCAACAAAATTTATAAAGTTATGGCACTGGACACCTGTGATGGAATATGAAAAACACAAAGATAAATCCTGCTAGTGTAAATCTATTGCAACTCCCCTGAAATCAATGGCTTTCTCATGAATTCAGGGCAGAGGTTCTGGGTGCGGTCTGGGGCAAAATTTGAAATGGCACCCCCCCCCCCCAATTACCACTGAAAGGAGGCCTACAGGGAGGGGTTGGAGAATGAGTCAGCCCCATACACATCCAGTCCCGTGACGGATGGCTCCCGTCCTATGGGACTGGAATAGGTTCCCCATTCTGGGCATTGTGACTTGGTTCACAGGGTTGCAGTGCCACTCAGGTTTGGCCCAGCCACCTCTCCATTATGACCTGGTTTCAGCTCCACTAGTTTGTGGCCCCTCTCAAACAGGGGCAAGCTGCCCCTTTTGCGCCCCACCCCCCCAATCCTCCTCCCCCCCCACACAGGAGGCCCTGTTTGAATTTGCACCAGTATGATGAACATCAGAATTGGGTTCTCTGTGTAAAGATTGCTAAATGGGGTGATGTGTCCCCTACGTTACTACCTTATTTCTATTTAAATAGCGCTTTTCATCACAGAAGCTCAGAAATCTTCACAATCACCATACAAACAAGTAGATGTGCAATAACCAAAGCAGAACCATCATTGTCGTGGACCATGGCTGCTATTATGTACCAGCACAAAACGCTAAATGTTATGCCAAGATTTTACATGGCATTCTAAAGAGTAAATGAGCCATAAAACCCATTCAGAAGGAAAACATTAGGAGATCACCAGAATGAATTTCAAAAGGGCATCCTATGCCAGAATCAACCCCAGATTCAATAAGACAAGCATAACAGCTAACCACTAACACTAACTGCTACACATCCAG